AAATAATGACATCAAGAAGAAAAAAGAGTGGGTTGTTGATATAGTCAGAGCAAAGGAAAACAGATGGCCTATTCAATTAAACTGATACAATGAGAGGGAGGGGGGTGGAGAGAGAGAGAGAGAGAGAGAGAGAGAGAGAGAGAGAGAGAGAGAGAGAGAGAGAGAACACATTTATTGAGTGCTGTATGATGCCAGGCACTGTACCAAGTGCTAGAGGATACAAATACAAATAAGCAAGGCAGTTCTTGCCCTCTAGGAGTTTATATTCTAACACAAAAAGAGAAACTACAAAAGTGGGGGTGGAGAGAAGTGTAGAAGCTTTATTATGGGCAATAGAAGTCAAAAACTTATCTGTCAGAGACCATAGTCATGAACTATAAAAAAGTCTCTGGAACACCAGGTGGGTACTTCAAGAAGGATTTACAGACAAAGAAGCATATTGGATGAGAAAACATGGAAAGGTAGTAGCCACACTGATGCTATTACAGATCAATAAAAGTGTTGAAGTATTAATCATGATAAAGAATTATTTTGAGAGCATTGCCAGATTCCATTTTCTATTATTTTATTTAATATCTATGAATCAATGTTCATGAATGATGTTGGCCTGTAATTTGTTGTGCACTCTCTTTGCAAGGTTTGGAGAGCAAAATCATATTTGCTTCATAGTTGGGTAGAATGTTGCCATTCTATATGTTTTAAAACAGTTTGTATGACATAAATATTATTTATTCTTTGATAGTTGGAAAGAATTCACCTACAAATTAATATGATACCAATGCCTTTTTATGTGGCAGTTCATTCATTTTCTGCCCAATTCCTTCTTCTAAGGTTGATCTATCTAGGCTATTTCTTGTCTTGTCAATCTGAGTTTTAAATACTTTGTATCATCCCTTTCTTTTAAAGATTTTGTTGGCATGAAGCTGTACAGAATAATTTTTAAAGTTTTCTTAATTTCCTTTCATAAATTGTGATTTTCCTTTTCCCATTTCTAACACTAATAATTTGTTTTTCCTACCTCATTTTATGGATTAATTTCTTGTTAACTGTAGAAATGTTATGATTATTGGCTTGAAACTACTCTTGGTTTTATTCATAAACATAATCATTCTTTGACTTGCTATTTTAATAATTTCTGTTCTTATTTTAACCATCATTTCCACTTTTTCTTTAAGTATATTACTCTTATTTATTTTCTAATTTCCTTGAATACAAACACAATTTATTTAATTGGTCTTTTTCTTTCTTATTGCTGTAGTCCCTCAAGGCTTTATATAATTTGCCCATGGCTACATGATTGTATTTGAAGTAGTTACTGTTTCTATAGTTGTTGTTTAGTCATTTTTCAGTTGTGTCTGACTCTTTGCCCTGATTTGGGGTTTTCTTGACAAAGATACTGGAGTGGTAGTCTGACACCTACTAGTTGTGTGACCCTGGGCAAGTCACTTACCCTCTGTTTGCCTCAGTTTCCTCACATGTAAGATGGGCATAAATAATAGCATCTACCTCCCAGGGGTTGTTGTGGGGATCAAATGAAATAATTATTGTAAAGCATTTAGCACAGTGCCTGGCATATAGCAAGCACTATATAAATGTTAGCTATTAGCTATTATTACCTATTTATGCTAATATATCATACTTTATGCGGAGTTTGCAATCAACTAAAACCCCCAGTTTTTTTCAAATTGCTGTCTAACTACAGTTCTTCCTAATTGTAAATGTGGAGTTGATTTTTTGATCTCAAGTATAAGACTTGGCATTTATCCTGATTAAATGTTATCTTATTACATTTGATAAAAAATATTCTAGCCCATCATTTTTTTGTCTACTATCTAATGTGTTAGTTATCTTGTCAAGCTTTATGATATCTGCAAATCTGATAAGCATACCTTTCTCCAAGTCATGAATAAAAATGTTAATACAGCCATCACAAATCCCTGGGGTGCTTCATTGGAGACTGCTCTTTGGGCCTGGCCATTCCACTAGTCTTGAGTTCACCTACCTGTATATATATCGTTTAGCTCACATACTAACAGGGTCAAGCAAATCAGGACCTCCCTGGGCCTCATCTTCCTTATGTGTAAAATGAATGAACTGGACTAGGTGACCTTTGAGGTTCTTTCCTGCTCTATGATTCTCTGAGAGTTAGGTAGGTCAGTATTGTCAAGGGCTAAACTTTGAAGTTCAAGTCAAGATATTTGTATCATAAGTATGGGAAAGCGCTCTCATGTTTCAATCATATTGTGACTACTGACACCTACTAGCTGTGTGACCCTAGGCAAGTCACTTAACCTGTTTCTGAGAATCAGCTTTCTCATTGGTGAAACAGAGATAATCCTTGTACTATCTAGCTTATGAAGGAAAGTGTTTTATAAACCTTAAATTATAAGATATGAGTCATTACTTTATTTTTATAACATAGGTGACCAAATTACTAATATTCAACAAACATTTGAGTACCTTTGAGATGTTTAAGATGTTAGGTGCTGAAGGAGGTTCAAAATCACATGGTCCTTACATTCAAAAATCTACCATTCTTCATTCATTTCCTGCTTTCTTTCAAATTCCTGGGTTTTAGGCACTGAAAAGGATTTATTTCCTTAATTCAGACAGGAAGTCTAATAATAAAATTCAAAATTGAATTACTTTTCAAGTGGATTTTACCTTTTTTTTCTGAATCTACATTTGGGAAGGCCTCATCTCTCTCCTGAGGTCCTGCATCACCAACTGCTTGATGAATATCCTGCCTGTTACACTCTGTATGACCTTCAGCAAGTAATTAACCTGCCTGGACCCAAGTGTCCTCATCTGTAAAATAAACAAATTGGACTAGATGGTCCGACCTTCCTTCCAACTCTACATCTGATCTCCCCCTGGATGTCATATAGGGCTCTCAAAATTACTATGTCCAGAACAGAATTTATTACCTCTCGTCATCCTCCAAGCTGATCCCATTCTTCATACTTACCTGTTTCTTCTAGTCACCTGGGTTTGAAACCCTCTCAGTGATCTCTGACACTTCACTCTCCTTCATCCCCTCCATGTCATATCCAAACAGCTGCCAAGTCTTTTATAATCAATAGTCCCAACAACGTCTCTGGCAACATCTTTAGCTTCTCCTTTCCACTTCAATAGCCACCACCCTCCTTCAGGTCCTCTTCACCCCTTCTCTTTACTCATATCTTTCCTCTTCAACTCATTTTCTATGCAGCTGCCAAAAGAGTCTTTCTAAAGCATAGGACCATGTTACTCTCTTACTAAAAAAGATTCTTTGGTAGCTTCTTATTGTTTCAAGAATAATTAGGGGCAGCTAGGTATTGCAAAGTATAGAGTGCAGTACATAGAATCAGAAAGATGTGAGTTCAAATCCATCCTCAGACACTGGTTGTGTGACCTTGGACAAGTTACTTAATATCTCTTTGCATCAGTTTCCTCAACTGAAAAATGGGGATAATAACAGCACCTACCTCCCAGGGTTGTTGTGAGGATCAAATGAAATACTTGTAAGGCACCTGGTGCATAGCAGGTGTGCTACATGAATGTTTGTTATTATCATTATTATATGTGAATTCCTCTATTTGGCCTTAAAACTCTTCATAATCTGATTCCAACTTACCTTTTCAGATTTTGATAATGTTATTCCCATCACACAACTAGTTTCAGCCAAACTGGCTTACTTGCTGTTATTCAAATTCAGCATTCCATCTCCCATCATACCTTTGCATACAGCCTGTCTACATCTGGAATGTATTCCTTTACCTTGGCTTTAGACAATCTCTAGCTTGGGCTATTTCCTAGGTTCAGTTCATGTCCCAACTCCCACATTTGGTCCAAAATTCTAACTTGTCCAGGAAGGGATCAAGCTTTCTGGACCATCCTAATTCTAAGTACTACCTCCTTTTTCCAATTATCTTCTATTTACTTTTCTGTTTAAGTTCCCTCGCAAAGGATTTACATAAGCTCCTTAAAGGCCAAGGACTATTACGTTTTTGTCTTTTTATTTCCTAGACCTACCACAGTGCTTTGAACATAGTTGACAATAAATGCTTCCTAAATTGACTTTTTTGAATATATTTTGAATCTAACAGTAGTTTTAAGTTATAATGGTTTCTTCATATCTCTATTCAATGAAGCCAAAACAATGCATAAGAGGTTTCTATCAGAAATATTTTCAGTTTTTGGTAAAGAGCGTCAATTATCTGTAAAATTCTCTAGCTTGGAACACCTCATCCCCTAATGGTGAAGGATAGGTGACCCTGTAGACTATTAACACAATCTGTGTGATAAAGCCTTCTCAAGCCAGGCCTGTGACCTACTTAACAGGTCAAATCTCTTTTACGAAGAACTACAAAATAACACTTGAATTCTTTGGTTGGATTAGGATTTCTTTGTATCCAATATTGCTTGAAATAAATGAGTTGTAAATTGCAGATGGGGCATAATTTTTTTTTTTGCAAATGTTTCGCGTATTCTTATTTGGGCTTCTATGTTGCAAGGAGATTAACCCAGTGACCCGGGAGATGGGACTGTCCCTCCTCGTCCAAAACCCCATCGGTCCATCAGAACCGCATGCCTACACTCTCCGGGAGGGCAGCCGACGGAAAAAAGGAGCAGCTGAAAAGGTAAGGGAGGAGGCAGGGATGCAGCAGCCTCCGATAGCAGGTCGACCCCAGGCTTGGGGGTTGGGGGCGGTGCGCAGACCGAAGTGGGCGTGACCATGGCCTCCCGTGATGACAACGGGAGGAGCTCCCGAGTGACACCATGCAGCTCCCCAAGGGTGACGTCACGCTGGTGACGCCACGGTCGGAGCTCTCACCTCCTCCCCCGCCCCGCTCCGGGCTCCCTTCCTTTTCGGCTTTTCCTTCCCTCTCTCATCCGGGCTCCTTCCTCCCGCCCTCAACGTTGCGCGCGCATACACTCACAGAACCATACACACTCGCTCCCCCCGCCCCCGCCCTCCTCTCTTTCCCCCTCCCCCTCCCCCACCATTCCCCCTCCTCCTCCCCGCCCAGCCGCGGTCGCTCGGGCTCCAGCTCTTGGTTACAAGATGGCGGCGCTGAGCGGCGGCGGCGGCGGCGGCGCGGAGCAGGGCCCCGCTCTCTTCAACGGGGACATGGATCCCGAGGCTGGCGCCGGCTCGGCGTCCTCCGCCGAGCCGGCCATCCCCGAGGAGGTGAGTGAAGACTGCCTGCCGGGCTGCCGGGCAGGCGAGCGCTGGCCTCCCCCCACCTCGACCGCAGATTGGGGGGGGAAGGGGTGCTAATGAAGACGGCCCCTTATCTGCTCCCCCCCCACCTGGGATGATGGGAGACCCCCCCTACACGCGCACGCGCACGCGCAGCCCTTCAACACGTAAACACCCGGAGGCCCCCCGGGGACAGGGCTCCCCTTGGCCCCGGCCCGGGGGGGATGTGGGGGACAGCAGAAGTTGGGGAGAAGGAATTGAGCCCAGATTTGGCCCTAGAAGGTCACGACCCGCCGCCATCCCCAGACCCACGTCGTCCTTACTCGCCCCCCTCCCGTGTTTTTCCCCCAGTGTGTGTTGGGGATGTTGCGAAGGAGAAGGGGGGACACCCCTCGCCCCCCCGCTCGCCCGAGTGGCCTGTGTCTGCTAGGGTATGTGAACGTGGGTGGGGGTGGTGAGGAGGAGGAGGAGAATGGGGGCCTTCTACCGGGCGGCTCAGGGTGCCCTCCTCTCTCTCCCCCTGCCTCCCAGAGTGTTTGGAGATTGTTTCCCAGCCAACGAAGACTGAGTTTTCTGTTTCTCTCTTTTGCTGACCATCCTTGAAGCCCGAGGATCCTTCTGCCCTCCCATCTCAGACCAGTCAACCCCCCTCTTTATTTTTGTAAACACCATGTCACTGACATCCTTACTCCACTCTCCCCCTCCGCCCACAGTATTGTGACCTGCCCCCCCCCTTCTACCTCCCTCAATTTTTGCTTCGATGGCTACTCTGTTCTTTTCCTTCTGCCAAATCCCCACTGAGGCTTCATACTTCATTCCTTGGCTCTCTCACATTGTATGCTACCTCCTTTATTTTCTCAAATTTCTTTGGACACCTTTGACTATTGTCTGTAAAGTTATTGAGATCCCACAAAGTTTCCACAGCACTAACCCTCTATTTCCCCATGTTGGACCATTTCCCACAGTTGAATCCTGTGTCTTATTTCACACCTATTTCCCCCCTCTCATTCTTAACATTTATTTCTTCGTCGTCGTATTTTTTTTAGTGTTTTCACTTCTGTCTACTCTCTCCTTTACTTCTCTCCCTTGCCTTTTTAAATTAGAATTAGTATTCTTGTCATATTCTCAAATTATATTTATTTTGTTATAATTTATTATATGTTAAAAAATAAGGTAATACCTGATATTGTTTTACAGTGATTAATTGGGTAGTAAGGTTAGGGTGTTGATTTTGCTTGTCTTTCCTTACTTTAATAACTTCTTGTCTTTCCTTCCTCATAACTTCAGTCTGTATTTAATGCTCTATTGCTTTACCTTGAAATTCACACAGTCTGCTTTCTTCATTATCTGATTTGATAATGTACCATTCTGTTTTTACACTTTCCTACCTTGAACCCAATACTGTTGTTGCCCATCATGTTACCACCTCTGTCCTATGACCTAGCCTAAATCTGTCCTGGCAAAATTATACCCATTTTCAGTTACCACTTCTGCTGAGGTCCCCATTTCCTTTCAACTTAGTTTCCTGTGATATTCCTGTTAATTTCTTCTAACTTCTTTACACCTATAAAACTCTTACCCATTTCTTATTTCCAGCTTATACTTTCATGTTTCGTTTGTCCCACTTTTCATTCATTCTGCTTGGTTTCCTGCTTTTGCTGCTTGATGAGGCTTCCTCTTATCTTCCTCACACCTCCACATTCCTTCTTATTTATAAACAGCTTTGTTCAGTTGACATGGAAATTTTTTAGGAGACATTGTTTTTAATGGTTTAATAGTAGGGGCTAGTTGTCTTTTTTTCCCTTAAGTTGGATGTGTCTCTGTCTGATGGCACAGGTGCTTCTAGGTATCCTTACTTCAAAGTTACTAAGCTAGAAAGAAAAACTATACAAATAAATGAAGACTTATTGTGAAATTGAGGAGCCCCCAAAATTTGATTGCAGTATTGTTACTATCAGCAACCTTTTTAATTTTACTATTATCAGATCAATTAGCTTGTCAAGGTGTTACTTTAATAGACCATCTGATTTTAAGCCTAGTTTTTATGATTAAACAATGAGTTCATTCTCAACCCCTGAAAAATTTACGTTTTTTTTTCTTTTTCTGTTGTAGAATCACTCTCATGGAGAAGTAGTTTTTCTGTGTTTTTGGACCTTGGGATTCAGTTGTTATCGATTGGAAATGATGTGGAATTTGTTTCCTTTATTATAAATGTTCTGAATACTATAAGTTTTGAATATACAGTAGTTGTCAGCATTGAAGAAGGTAATTTCCCCTCAAGTAAACGCCTTTTCTGTCAAAATTAATATTAGTAAAAAATGAAAACTGAAATGCACTGAAGTCCAGTTGAGAACTTGGCTGTCCTGTCATCCTTTTCTGAATTATTATCATAACAGATTCGGCAAAGAAAAGTGTTCCATGTACGTAATGAAGAGTTTTATACAGAGAAGAAATAAGGGATGAACAAACTTCAAGTACTCTATTTGTAAATGTAATTTTACATATTGAGTTTTGAACAAGAAAGTAATTCAGATTTATGGAATATAACCAAAGTATATCTTTTTTAGAAGAACTACTGTACCAGTATGCTTTCTTAGCACAGTTAGCAATTAGTTGGCTTTTGATAGGAGACATTTACTTCTGAGCCTTCCTCCTGTTGAGTCCCAAAGTTAATTTCACCCCACCTGTCCTGGGATTGAGATGCCAGTTGTATAATTTCAGTGTTGTTTTTATTGTTCTCCTAAATCACCTCTAATCTTCAATAAGCACTTATTATAGTACTTACTATGTGATAGAGGATAAGAAGCCCAAAACAAAACAGTCCCTACCCCTACGCAGCTTATGTTTTGTTGAGGGGAAATATGTACACAGTAAAGTATATACAAAAGATACACGAGTAAATACAAATTAATTTCAGAGAGGTAGAGCACTGACATCTGGGGAAAATCAGGAAAGGCCTCTTGGAGGAAGTGGCAGTTGAGCTGAGCCTTGACCACAAGGAGAGTTTCTAAGACATGAGGAGGGAGAGAGGGGATGTTGTTTACAGCAACAGAAATAGGGCAGTTTGGCAAGACCCTAGAGTGCTCAAGAAGGAGTGATGTCAGATCAGTCTGGGAAGAAAGGTTCCTTAGATCCAGCTTGTGATGGGCTTTGAATGCTGCATGGGTAATTTTGTGTTTTATCCTTGATGATGTGGGATCAAGTTAAATTTCTTGAACAGGGATGTGTGAGGTAGTCATTGTTAGGTAGTAGCTGTGTAAAAGATGGATTGGAGAGAGGAAAGATGGGAAAACCAATAAGGAGATTGTTGCAGAGGTCTAGGTGTGAGGTAATGAGGGTTTGACCCAGAGTGGGGATTGTGAGAAAGAAGAGTCAAGGACAATTCCAAGGTTGGAAACCTGGGCTACTGGAAGGATGAGAGTCTTCTACAGGAAGATAGCAGAGGGATGAATTTAGTGCAAAAGAGATGAGTTCTACTGTGAGCATGTGGAGGTGGAGATGTCAAGAGAGCAGGTATACTTAGGTAATGTAATGACTTCAGTTAATGAATTCTTTGGGTATGAATTCCTTTTATAGGGGAAGAAGCTTCTATTAAGACAAGTAAACAAAAATCTTCAGAAATAAAATGAAGCATTTTTGACTGAATGGCAGTGTTCATTTTACATCTTGTATTTATACAGGGAAAAAATAACTTTTTGAACATCCATTTGCATAAAGTTTTTGAATTTTGTACCCTAGGACTCCCTTTTTTATGTTTTCTTCCCCCCTCCATATTAATCAACGAACAGTTCTCTGCCTTCTTCTTTATCACAATATGAAAGGGACTGACATCAAACTCTTTATGTTTGTTGTCAGTGTTTTCGAAATTCTTTTTTGTGTCCATCCCCTCTGTTCAGTGGGAACTACTTCCTAAAGGTTCTCAATGTTGTCTCTATAATTATTTTTTTTATTTCAGTGATGATTCCATATCAAAATGTCAACATCTGAAGAGAAATTGTGGAGAAAGAATGGGCACTGAAATAAGCATTCTGCTTGGTTGGCCCTCAAAGGCAGCCTACCTTTTTAGAGTCTTTCAGGAAGAGGGAGCTGCTTAGGAGGGATGTGATTCTCTCTCCCTTTCCTAAAACCAGAAGGTGCTAGCTAGATGCCTTTTCTTCTTTGATGTCTGTTACTGGGATTTCCTGGGTATGGGAGGAACATAACCTTTTCTCTGTCTTGAAATTTAACTTACTGCTTGAGTGTAAATTAGGTCCTTTAACTCTTCCTCCCTTGTCCTAAGACTTTCACATGTAAATTTTTGTCTTCTGGAACATTCGATGTTTTAGGTGACATTTAATCTTTTCATGTTCTCTGGGTGTTATCTTAATTGGCTATGTAAACTTTAATGTTAAAATTGTGATAATAGTAATTAAAAATGTAACATTTTACATAAATTGTTTTTTCCTAGTCTCTGGTAGACTGGCTGTTGTGTTTGTTACTATGTATTGCTGTTTGATTAGTGAACTTGTACTCCTTTTCTGACGGCCTATATGTGTTTAAAGGTCTTATGTTATTTCATCTTTGATAAAAGTGATGACAATAAAGTGAGTTGTTTGACTATAGCTTCCTTAATAGGATTATTATCATATAAGTGCCATCTATCTGAATGTAAATAGTCTTAAATGGCTTATTCCAGTCTCTCTACCTATCTTACCCCTCATTGGTTCGTTTTGTTCAGTTAAAATCTGTTAGAGGGAGTCCTCAGTTCAAGATAGATGAACTTGTTTGGGAGCCTTAAGAAATAAATCCCTTTGTACTAAGGTTAAGTAGTTATTTGCATAGTAACAGTGTTTTCGATAGCTTAATATTAGTATAGGAACTAAAAGTAGAGTCATTCTTATCTCCTTTAGATATTTGGTGGCTGGGTTAATTTTTCTGGGAGGTAGCTTTATTTCTAAGGGCTTTTTGTTTTGTTTTTTTGCTACCAACCTAATTTACTATCATACTTA